TATGCCCACATTTGTACTTTATCAAATTTATTTTTACAGTTTTTTGTATTTGAAACATTTAAACCTTTTTAATTTATTTATTTTATGCCCACATTTGTACTTTATCAAATTTATTTTTACAGTTTTTTGTATTTGAAACATTTAAACCTTTTTAATTTATTTATTTTATGCCCACATTTGTACTTTATCAAATTTATTTTTACAGTTTTTTGTATTTGAAACATTTAAACCTTTTTAATTTATTTATTTTATGCCCACATTTGTACTTTATCAAATTTATTTTTACAGTTTTTTGTATTTGAAACATTTAAACCTTTTTAATTTATTTATTTTATGCCCACAATTTTATTTATTTAATTGTCTATTTTTCTTTTTGTTTATGTTAAAAATTATATATTTTTGTGCTKATAAGCCTGAGTGGTCTGTTGACTGACCTTTGTATTTGTTTAAATAATTGTTATGGTCAGGTTACAATATAAAAATGTTTGTCATAATCATGTCTTGTGATATTTGACAGGAGTTTTACTTTTAAAATGTAAGTGTATTTAATTTAGTTATAACGTAAATACAATAAAAATGAAACCAAGATTTAGAATAATTATCATTTTGATCCGTACATTGGTAATGTCTGACTGGGCCTCGTGACACTTTATGTTCAATAAATTGGGCCCCGAGGTCAAAAAGGTTAAGAACCCCCTGTTCTAAGCTAAAAACAAAAACCCGCTCAGCTGACTGAATATGTTGTCTGTTAGGAAAGCGTTTACAGTTTATACAACAATTTGTGATGTGCTCTGCCTTTTGTTTCTCAGGTTCTCAGCTCCCAAAGGTGTTTCTTTTTCCCTTCTGGTGAAAGCGTGTAATATGTTTTCTCATGTTTCAGTTTAGTTTGACGCAACTTTCCAGACGCTTTTTTGTTTTATCTTCAACCACATAACACTCAAGGCACTTCAGCTTTTACCTCAAAGTACCCTGGTTGGATTGTTATTGTCTCACTGTGGATTAATAACAGAACATTCCATTATAGTCTCATTATTAACATTTATTATATCATTTATTGACATATGTTTATACAGTCCACATCCGCATCTTGATTTTTTCCCCCCAAAAACAGTTTTATATGTTGGACTTCAAAAATGCTTGTGCACCAAGTTATGAGTTGGGAGAGGAAGCGGTGGTGTTTGTTTAAACTGAGCACGCTCAGCCATGTGGGACGGTTTAGTGGGAATGAGAGCCTTGCACTCCTCTATCCCCCGCTACCTTTCTCCAGCGCTGCACTGCTCTCCTTCCCCACCCTGACCAAAAATTTCTGAATGGGCGTCCGTCTTTTGAAGGAGGCTGATAAGTGTGTGTGTGTGTGTGTGTGTGTGTGTGTGTGTGTGTGTGTGTGTGGCTGCACACCCCCCCCCCCCCCCACACACACACACAACTGCCAGCCCTGTGGGTCTGTGGAAGCGTACATTCGATGTGTAAGTACCATGCTTCGTCACAGACATGGCAGCCACACCCCCTGGCATATTCCCCTAAGATCAGATAAGTGTGTGTGTATGTGTGTGTGTGAGGAAGGATGCTGTGTGTTTTGAGTTTTAATGGTACGTCATTCCTTCTCATTTCAGCTGGCCCCTCAATTTGCAACCCTTCCTCCTAAAACTGTATTTAGTACCACCTCCTACCGCGTCCCCATCTAACCTCTCATTTCCCTGCACCTCCCACTACACCTCGCCCACCCATGTCGCCCCTCCTCTTCTGGCGACGCGTGCCCCCCTTTTAGTGCCAACATGCCCCTCGCCTCCCATCTCTCTTCTCTCCCCTCCCTTTCGCTGGTTTTTCCCACGCCCGCCTCTTTCTGTCATCACGCAGTAGGAGTGGTATCTGAACACGTGCCCCTTTTCAGTGCCAACAAGCTCCCCTGTGGCTCAATCCCCCACCTCACTGTATCTTCATGTCGTCTATCACCCCCCCATCGTGTTTTACCTCCCCCCGCACCCCCCCCCCCCTCCAGTTTCTCACACTCTGCATCTCATCGCTATGTAAGTGGGGATACCAGACTGTTTTGCATAACACTGTTTAGTCCTTTGTGGCAGGCGGGGCGGCATGCGAATATGCAAAACGGTGATGGGAGGCATTTTGTAGTATGATGAGGGAGTGGAGAAGGAGGCACTGCAAATGATGCCGCTCTGTGTGTGTCTATGCTTGTGTTTTCCCAACGTATTCTTTGGGCTCATCTGGGCGATGGTTGGTGCAGCAGCGGGTACCTTCAGAACAAAAGCCAAGTTGAAACAGCGTGCCAACGGAATACCACCTGAGCCGCCGCACATCCTGCACGGGAGGGACGTTCTCGTCTTCTGTGGCCTTTATTCTACTTAAGGGACCTTACGAGGAAAGGTTGTCTTTTCTTTTGGAACTCACATCATCGCTGCCTTTTCTTGCATCATTACTGTGAATCCAGATGACGCAACTCTGCAAATATTAGCGGCGAATTAAGAAGAAAGCGACGGGGAATTTATTCACGCTTACCCCTCCTCTTCAGCCACATTCTTCTTTCTCCTACTCATCTGTGGCAGGGAACGAATGGTTCTTTATAATTGGCCGTTGTCATCATGCAGATGACACACAGTCTGAGCTCTGAATATCATTAGCGCCTTTGCATACCTCTGCCTTTTTTTTTTCTTTTTTACTCGCTCTTTCTTCTCGTTTCTTCATTCCTATGCTCGTTTTGCGATTCGGTATTCAAAAAGGTAATTATCATCCACAGAGCAGCCTATCAATATGCACAGAGAGGCATAATAGGGAACGAAGGTGCTTGTCTGATTGCCAAGTTCTCCTAACCATTTTCAGCGCAAATGTAGACGCATCTCCCAGCATGTGAGGAATAGTACGAGTCTATTTATGTGATTTTACTGGAAATCGTCTTTGCAGTAAAGTCCAGTGCATATCTCCATTGTTACAGTGTTCTTTGCTCTCCTCTTTTCGTCTCTCGTTTGCATACACCCACCACTCCTTTCGTAGAATAATAGCTCTTAATTCTCCTCTGCAGCACTTGCCTTCTGATCCACGACAAAGAGAAAAGAGCCAGCCGATTAATTTGCATACTCCCCATAACGATGAGGTGTGCGTTACAGACTCCCTAATTACCATGTCCTCCTGTCACTATATCTTCTCCTGCAGCTCCTGTGTTTAAAGCTTATTTGCCCATTCGCCATCTCTTCATCTGCATAAAAAACACATTGTTACATTCTGTGTTACTTCATCTGGAGGAGGGTGAAGACACAATAGAGAAATAATAAGAAAAAACTGTCTCGTAATTCAGTGATGAGCGGTTCGTTCATTCACCTTCGTTTAGTCCACTGTCTGTGTTTACGGGCTAATTTGCAGCTCCTCTTGCTCGCAGCGACTATCCTTAAGCTACCCTCTTTGTCTTCGGCTCGGAAATGTACAAAATCTTACAAGGAATCAATATTCAATTGATTATTCACTTTCCTGAAGCCTCAAACGACTGCTGAGTGCACGTGCAAATTAAATCCGACGCGTGTCTGTATGCGTGTGAGTCAAAAGTTCCTGGTAGATCCCATTGTGTTCCCAGTTCTTCAGAGGCAGAAGGCAGACGAGGTGGCAGGGAGCTCTGAGAGAAGCACTCTGCTGGATCTACGTGCATTTTTATGTGTGTAAATGTGTGTGTGGGCATATGAAACGTACCAGGGTCCCGCCAATAGCAAAAAAAATAAATAAATAAATAAAAAAAAAACCCAAAAAGTTCCACGATTTGAAGATGGTCTACGTCTTTGATCTCAAACAGCAACAACTACCCAAAGACGTGGAGAGATGGAATTTAACAACAACAACATGTAGCCCGTGGGCATAGGAAGCACAACATGCTCCAAACAGGATGTGAAAGGAAGTGTATCCTCTTTATCAAGACTTTTTTATTTGCTGTTTTGTTTTTTTTGTCTTCTGTTTCTGACTCCAAGAGCAGAACGGGGCAAGATGCCACCTGGACCCTTTAGAGAACTCTGTGCCAAAGCAGGAGTGGAAACAGTGATGTGATGAGAGGGGTGTGAGGAGGAGGAGGAGTAAGAGAAAGAGAGAGAGAGAGGGGTAAACGGCACCTGGCACCTTCCTCTGATATGCCATCTGAATGGCAAGCACATAATAATGGCAAATGTAGAGCAGATTGGCTTGGAGGAGGAGGAGGAGAAGAAGGAGGAAAAAAGGGGGAAAAGACAGACCAAAAAAAAAAAAACTGGCCTGGTGCCAAAACTACAAAGGCATGACTGTGCACAGAAACCTTCCCATACACTGTGTTCGGACACTTGTTGATGTGGAAAGCTCACATCTTTGGACTCATAATGCTCCAACTAAATTACATCATTTAATTTGGGCACTTGTCTCAGTCGAGCCAATTATGTTTCTTTAATTTTAAAGATAATGACAATGATTGTTTAATGACTAAATAAATAAATGTTTCAATATCACTTTATTTACTAAGACATTCATGTATGTATAAGAACTTAAATCAAAAATATGAATGAAAATGAAAAGTAGCCATGCAACATGGCAAAGGTGAAATACTGATGAGTTTAATCGTAATAAAAAAAGACATGCTACAACCAACCTCGATCTGTTTTCCTGATAATGGCATTTGAGTTTCAGGGGGGATTTTTCTTCATGGTGTTCATGAATAAAAACTGCTGGCTGCAGATAGTTTATGACAGGGAAATGAATGGAAGCTAGATAGAGTAGTATAATGTTCATATTGAAATGTGCTGAGCAAACATCTTCCTGCACCAGTGCACTTGTTCAGTGCGTGTGATGGGAAGAAGGAGGGGAGGAGAGCAGTAAAGTTGAGTAGGACAAAACACACACTGTGTGTTCATGTATGCCTGCAAAGTGGGTTTTCCGAACCAAAAGAAATCACATGAAGTCAGCTGTGGCGGTTATCTTAAAGCAAACTTTTCAAGGAAAAGGGAGGGTAGACTTTTTAAAGAACATGCAAAAGTGTTTTGAAATGGCCACAGCATTAGACATGTGTGCAATTTGAAAGGTTTTGCATAATTTGCATGATAAGAGCAGGGTGTAGAAGACCAGRGGGGGGGGGGGGGGGACTGTCATCAGCAGATAAGAAGAAGTATTATACATTGGGTGTTATATGTGTAACTGGGTAAAAAAAGAGAAGGGGGTGGGAGTAGGTACTTGTCATCCAAATCAGACAATTTATTTGAATAAGAACAATCAGTGTCCCCAAATCGAGTGGAGACGGAAAAGGAGGGGAAAAAAGGAAAGGCGATTTGACTTGCGAATCAGGCGATGCGTATCTGCATGCTAATTACGCAGCAAGAAGGGGGAAAAGAGGAAAGCGCCCCCCAAGCGCCAGACAGAGAGAGTGCGAGAGAGGAACGACACAGCAGACACGAGAGAGAAACGAGGGAAACGAGCGATCCAACGAACGGACAAACGAAGGAATCAAAAGGAGCTGTAGACGAGATGGGTAATTAATTCCCCGTCGGGCTTTAAGCTACAACATTTGATTGTCTTTGGAAACAGATCAACATATGCAGAAAAACGAAAGGAGCGAAAGCGCAGGACGACTTTAGGAACTGGAGTGGGTCTTGTTGTGTGTTGGGGGGGCGGGGGGAGTCATCCGAAAATTAAAATTATTGATTGATCTTAGGATGCTGGGGGTTGTGAAGCAGAGGGCATTTTGAGGAAGTAATTAGAGCGGACTGCGAGCAAGGCTGGAACGATAATAGATGACATTGGGATTCACCATGGATATCGACCATTAATCTCCATTAACGACGCGCAGGATATTAAAAATATTCTAATTGGAGGGACAAAAATGATATGGATGGTGTACAAATGTGTGATGGGGTGTTGAGCTTGGGTGTTTCGCTATAATTGCCTACTGTGGGAATTGCATCTTCAGGTATGGTATCTCAACTATTAGCTTGTTGATTAGGATTACAAACTGTTGACAATGCAGTATTGCATTTATTTTATTTATTGTTTATTTTCCCCTCTTTTTTAAACAGAGCAACAATAATTTAGTTGTGAACTGAGCAGAAGTATTTTGACTGTGTGCAATATGATGTGAAAATATGGGTCAAATGTAAATGTACAAGTTTGTGTTGTGTGAATACTGAAATGCAATTTAAGTTTCCAATTTGTATTTTGTTTATTTTTTAATGTACCTTTAAGCATTTTTAAGGTAACACAGTTGTTTAATGATGTTATGGGTTAACTTGTAATCTTTGTGCTAAAACAATAAAACAATCTTTAATGTACGCTGAAGTCTCTTTTTATGTAAAAACTAAACACAAATGTTCATACAGTGAAGTTTTCTAAAGCCCCACACAGAAAAAGAAGAAGTCTCTTTTCTTTTGGATACCCGAYCCCCGCCCACCCTTCACGGCTGCTATGATGTCATCAGAAGTGGCCTTGGCTCCGCTGTATGCTCCAAGTTACATGGGCCTAAATGGAGGGGGAACAGGTGGCAAGCAACACCACRTTTATCAATATCTCCACCACCTTGCACTACTGTGCTGTGACACTATTAATAGATTTTAAAATTTCACTGTGTCAGCTGTTCAATATTACAAATTGCTTGTGTGCAGCTGCTGTGCGTTCACTTGCAACTGTGTGTGTGTGTCGCCCTGGTGTAAATATTCAAGAGGTTAATGCATATGTTCCTGTAATATCTCGGTATATTCACTCTGCATGATTAGGAGCCGTCCTTGAATTAATAAGATGAAACTGGAACCCCCACCCACCCACCCACYGTCTTTGCTGCAGCTACAAACAAGCACACACATTCACATTCTATCACACAAATACCAAAAAGCTACATTAACAGAAAACCTCACAACTATTTGGTTACATGAAGGTAAYCTGATTTTATTTACAAATAGAAAAAAAAAGAAATGTTTTACCTGTGTGCTTGAAAAACGATTTCAGCCCTCAGAGTTAGTATTATTTTATGTTTGGTGAATGAATGCGTATAAGATGGTAAGTAGGATGCAATTACAGTAATGATCGTTTACTGGGGTGGGCCATTATGAGGGTATTAAACCAGTGGGCTGTTTTATATGCATGTTATGGTGACGTAAAGTCATCCCTCATGCACAAAAAATGGACATGATTGGACAACGATGAAAACAAACAACCAATCCATGTATGCAAGGTTTTTTTTTACAATAAATATATCACTTTTCCCTTTTTAGCAACATGCATACAGACAGCAAGCACACATTTACTCCTGTGTGTGAGAAGGTTGTGCTTTATGTTTAAAAGTTCCAGTCTCAAATGAGTCTGAACCTGATATTTATGAGCTGGGTTTGACATGCATMTTATTATTATTATCATTATTGCTATTATGCATTTCGGGCATGGGAAGTAACATTAGACCTGACAGAGGCAGGGGGTATTTCATGTGCAATCACCAGATTGGTCTGATTTATGATTTATGCATGGAGTATCCAGCCTGAGGTAACACCCCTGGAGGTGATGGGAGGTAAAAAATTGTTTTAACCAATTGATTAATCAAGAGCAGTCATATGTGTAAGTGCTCCATATGTATATAAGCATGCATGGCGAATGGAAACGTGTGTTTATTGCATTGCTGTGCCAGTGTGGGTGGGGAGGTGTCTGTCTGGTGAAAAACTAATTTGGTGATGCAATTTTGCACCAACTGATAGGTTAAAAAAATGTGGAGCAAATAAAGCAGGTGATGAAGTAAAAGAGTATCATAGAAATTTATGACTTATAAAATTGAAACAGTAAATTATTTTACTAATATATTGTATGGATGCAAACAATTAATTTGAGATTTACTACAAGAAAAATTATGAACATTCTAAAAGAACTTATCTTAAGAATTCCTTAAAACCCATCAAGGTAAAAAAAAAAGTGTTTTTCTTCCTTCCAAACCATCAAGAGTGTTTCTTTAGGAACTGCAAAATGAAGAAAACTGACACACAATTATGTGAATTGGAAAATTCAATTTTCTAGAAGAACTGTACCTCAGAAATTTTAAAGAACACCCTTAGCACACCTTAGGAACTGAAGTGTTTTTTAAGCACAAAAAAATCAATTTGTTTGGAAGCAGGAGCATGTTTACAAGAATGTGATTTTTGTGCCATCTTACTACGTGTAAACATAAAAAAATAAAAATATTGCGACTCAAAGTTGATCCAAAGATGCGTTCAAACAATCTAGACGATTATCAAGAATCAAAAATAGCAATGTAATAAATACAAGATAAAATAAACCTCAGAGAGGAAAAGGAAGAAAAATAAGAGCACACTAATTTTCTGTAATTTTCTATAGAAGCAGCATGGTGCAAGTTATTGCTTCTCTTGATAATGCCTTGAAAATATACAATGTCAGTAACCAACGTGCACCACTTTACCYGCAGTACGCAGCAACTAGACATCAGCAGCTGAGCTGTAAAATAAAAAAATAAGAAGTATATTCAAATCATGTTACAAAAGGCAGGACTGACTGTCAATCATCATTTATTGTAGAATTAAAAGAAATAAAAGGTATAATAATATGGACTAAATTATTTCTAGCTTTTTTGAATGAAGATCGTGACAAGCTAAGTCAGTAATGATTTAATGCCACCAGTTATTTCCCCAAGATATTTTTAGTAAAAATGTGGCCAGCATTGCAATTTTCAACCATCTTGATAGAGTTTAACTTTGTTTTATTGACAGAGCTTGATACAGACAGTAGTCAACATGAACACTAAGCTTTAACATGGATGAAACTGTTCAAAACGTAAGAATTAGATTTATATTTGTTTTAATGCAAATGGCATTCATCAGCATTGTGCATTTCTGCTCTGTAGCTGAAACAATATCTTGATATGATGTCAACCATCTAATTAAAGATAAAAGGGCAGCAAAAACTGTCACAAGTTTATAATATAAGACAATAAAGCAAATGATTGTTCCTGTGTCAGCTATTTAAACTAACTATTGGCTGTCCTGATGCATCTCAGTAATCCAGGAAAAAAAAATCAAAAAGAAAAAATTGTATAGGTCTTCTGGACGGGTTCTTCTTTAATGAAACGTTTCGTCTCTCCTCCAAGAGACTTCTTCAKTCTGAGAGTTTCAGGCAAAATTCAGGCTTTTAAGCACTGCCTCCATGTGACTGATACTCACATCACATGGCTATCGTTGACACCTAATTAACACCTATTGTTAACAGGGGGTGGAGTGATACTGGCTATAGCAGCGTTGTAGGAGGGGGATAACTGAAAATGGAGGCCTCCACCTCTGTTTAATGATGGACGGTCTTTCTTCACAAAAATGGCTTCTTTTACTCCTCTCTCAAACCAACGTTCCTCTCTATCAAGAATGAGAACTTTTTAAACTATTGGCTGCCTAAATAAAAACCTAGCAGTTCACAAACAGGTCTTGTTTTAAAAGGGCATTTTCAGAGTGCCTGTTGTTGTTTACACCGGTGCTGCTGCAGTTCTCCTGAACTGTAGGAGGCAACATACAGTGAAAACAATGCTGTTAAACAGCAGGAAGTGAAGCCATGTCATACTTTTTGAAGTGACTGTGTGTAGAAACTACACAGCCCACGACGGGACAGGGGGATTTTTTCATTTGCGTTCCCTCACAATACTTTTGCGTTCTCGCAATATTGTTTTGTGTTCCCACACAAAAGTTTGATTTGTACACGAACTGAATTAAATCAGACTTTTATTTTGAAATATCCGGTTACCGAAACAGGATGTGTCGCCACAAGTTCGTGAATTTGACGTTGATATTACGTGGCTGCACTGTGTTAAAATATGGGCATATGACATACTTCCATGCGTGCTTGTGTTATATATTCATTCTGAAGCTGAATTAAAGCAGTAGGCTAACTTGCTAATGGTAAACATGTGAGTTTGTTAATAAACCGGCAGGCACAACAGTGATAAACGACTTTTGCGAGGGAACGCAAAAGGTATTGCGAGGTTAAGCAATACTTTGGCGTGGGAATGCAAAAAGAAATAAAATCCCCCATGTCCCCTCGCTGGCTCCGTAAGAAACAAACCTACACAAACGGGTCAGACTTTATTGGTACAA